CCTGAGGCCAGGAATCACCTGCGAAGGGGACCAGCAGGCAAGGGCGCAGCTCGACCCCAGCTCCCTTTGATTCCCTTCACTACTGAGTTAGCCCCTCTGACCAAACTGGGCAATCCCTGGCTAATCTTTTTCATTTGAAACTTGGATTTTCTTAAGTAATAGTCAATGTAAGTTCTTTCTAGACACCAGCACTGCGCAGAGACCCTTACACACATCTGTCTCATTGGACCCTCACCCACCCTGCGAGGAAGGTTGTGCCAGGACCCATTTCTCAGGGGAGGCGACAAAGGCCTAACAGGGGAAGTGACTTGATCATTCACTGGGTGCCAAACTCCACCTCCAGGCCACCCCTGGACCCCGCCCCACTTGCCTTGTGCCTGGTGAGGTGACCTGGTCACCTGGTTCACAGAGCTCTGGCCTTGAGCAGGCTCTTCCTTCAAAGGGAGGCCCCTCTCCTGGTGAGGAGCCCAGACCTTGGGGGACTGCCCTCAATTCTTTCTCCCGAGCGAAGGAACCCCCACAATGTGACCCTGGGCAAGTCACCTCATCTCTCTAGGGCCATGGCCTCTAAAGTGAGGGAGTCTAGGTGACTTCAAAGGAGCCACTGTTTCCAAACCTTGGCGTCTGGGGCCGCCCCTCCTCTGCTGCTGGGCAGAGGGCTCTGTCTGGAGGGACTGGGGAGGCAGGGCCCAGCTTGGCCTGCAGCCCCAGGCAATCATGGCTAAGCTGCTGCAGCCTTGCATTCCCGCCTGGGCTCAAGCTGCCCAGGGAGGGAGCGAGGCACCTTCTTGGGGTACCCATTCAACAGAAGAGGAAACCGAGGCTCGGTGAGGCTGACTTGTCTAGTGCCTATCAGGACATGAACCTATCTCCACCCTCAACCCCTTGTAGCAAAGCCCAGGGTTCCCCTCCCCAGCTCCAGCCAGCCTCCGCCTGAGCAGGGCTGGAAGGCTTCCTCTGCCAGCCTCAGGGCGTCTGCTCACCTGCTGGGCCCGCTGCTGTGCCTGTAAAGCGGGAGTCGCAGTTGCGCCCACCTCAGGGGGTTGGTGAGGCTGAGAGGGTGCTGGGCCCGGGGAGCGCAGGGGCTCCACCCACGTGCCAATGTTAGAAATCTCTAACGAGCTAAGCCCTTAACAGCTCGAAACCACACCTTCCACATCTATAAAACGCAGAGTAATGCTTTCAATCTGTAGCATGCAGATAACAATGGCCACGGGGCCCAGTAGGGAGTGAGCACCTGATCGGTGTTGCTGTTATTATTATTTAAATGAGACTTACAGTCCTCCTCACAGCCTAGTCCTGGGAATTCAATCAGATGGAATCCAGTCTACAGATCCCGGGGGCCTGGCACACAGGACCCTGGAGGTAGCCTCTGCCACCAGCTCCGCCTGCTAACGGTTCTGCTCTAGAGACCCTCCACAAGAGCCTCCCACAGCCACCCTGGGTGGGGCTACTGTGGAGCCTCCAGTGGTCAAGGTGGAGCTGTGAAGCCTTTTGGGCCCTTGGCAACCCCAGGCCTTCAGAATAAGGCTTATTAATGACAAGGCTTTTCCCTTGGGGTTCATCAAATGTGGGACTATTATCATTGCTGATGGTCGTGGACCCCTGAGGGATATTTACACCCACTTGTACAAAAGAAAGAACTGAGGCTTAGAGAGAAAGGCCACCTGCCCAAGGTCACAGCGTTCTCCTACCTGGAAGGAGGCAGATTTAGCCGAGGGAGGCCCCCCGGCTGGGCTCGGCTGCTCCATGGTTGCTTCCCACCACAGCTTCTCGGCCACTGGCCAGGAGGTAGTCAGGGACCTGGCACCTTTCATCCCTGACCTTCATGCTCCCCAACCAGGCAGGCACAGAGTGACCGCAGGCCACCTCTGCCAAACCAAGCTCACTCTGCCCAGGCTTCAGCTGGGCCAGAGATGGGGCGGGGAATTGAGAGGATACCAAGACCCGCCTCTCCCCACCCAGAAGCCTGGGGTCTCCCCAGTGTGCAGGGAGGAAGGTCTTACCTGATAGGTTCCTGCTCTCATCCTGGGATCTGCCCAGGGACCTCGTGTCCTGCTGGAGGTTTCCAGAGTGCAGAATTTCCGTGAGTTAAGTAACAACTGGCTGGAGGTTAAAGGTGAGCAGGCAGGCGGGGCCCCTGTGGGGAGCAGCACGTGGGAGGTTTATAGCCTCTATGGGCCTCGCTTATCACAGTCCATCTCCCTTTACCGTTAGGGCCCTTTTGCGCCGGCCCCGCCCAGCTGGAATCCCTGAGGAAGGGAGAGCAGAATTCAGGGGTGCCCTTGACTTAAGGAGTCTGAGCTTGCTGGGGGGAGAGGCTGCGTTTCACCAGATCGTTTGGTCAGAAAGCCAAGACGCAGACCCATTTCCCAGGCTGCAGGGTGACACCGAGGGCCCATCCAAATGAGCTAGTAGACACCTTTCCTGTTTACACACCTTGTGCTGGCTCACTCACTGGGGTAGTTGAGATGCACAAGTGCCAGACAGTACTGTGTCTCAGGGTAATGTTTGGGGACACACACTGCCCTCCACAAACTGGGATGACACTCCTGTCACACCATGGCTGGAGGCTGAAGCAGACAGATCCACATCTGCCACTAGTCCTGACCTCCTCTCTGGGGTGTTCTATGGGGAAATGGGGTGTGGGGGGAGCTTAGAGCCAGGAGCTCCAGGATTTAGGCCTGTTTTAGTTGTTTTAAAATATGGTTAAACTGCATGAATAAAAATATTAATTCAGGAAATATGAGAAAACAGGGAAGCATAAAGGACAGAACCACTCCAAATAACCATGGGTAGTCTTCACGATCCCTTCCGTTTTTCTTACAAATGAGCTTAAGCAGTGTCTTTTCCGCCCGCCGCCTCGGGAACATCTTCCCTGCGCCGTGCACACACTTGCTCAGCCTTTCTCGCAGCCCAGCATTCAGTCCCCGGGCCCCACCTGTCCAGGCTGCTCAGATCGCCACCAGCTTGTTAGAGGCGCCCCATGGAGAGGAGTGGGGGTTCGGATGTACACTGAAGTGGAAGCACTGCTCTTATTTAAGCTGATGGAGGTCTGTGTTTTTCCACAGGCAGGGCTGCCCTGAACAGGTGGGTGCACTGGGCAGAGGCAGCAGGGAACAGGTTAGGGTTTTGGCCTTTGTGGTTACAGCCCTGGTGGGGCCACCGTACACTCGGCCACACGGCCATCTGTGGGACAAGAATCAGCACGTGCCTTCTCTACTGGGCCATCTCATGAAGTCACGGCTCTTGCCTTGGACTGCACAGACTAGCTTGTTCCCTGATCCTCCATGGGAGAAGCTCCTCACTGTCCTCAGTTCCCTTCCAGGGTTTCCAAGGAAGCTCTCCATCCAACGGCTCTTGCCAAGGTCACCATTGACCTCAACGTGGGTAGACCGAATGGTCAGTCCTCACTCCTCTTTCGGACCCATCAGCAGAATTTGTGGAAGTGATCACTTCCACCTCCCCAAAACACTCTGTCCCTTAGCTTCTGGAACCCACTCTCCCTTGTCATTTCATCTGTTGCCCTCAATTCCCGGATGACATCTAAACTTTGGGGTGCCGAGGGGGCCACGCCTCCCTTCTCCCTCTTCCAGCGAGGACTCAATGGGGTAATAAACTACAACTGCTCATAAATTTCTGTAAGTGGAGTCACTGGGTCCAAGAACAGGAACCTCTTAGAGAAACTTTATCCTTCAGAGAAAAAAAAATCATACCTCGAAAAATTAAACCGGCCCTGTGAGCTTTCCCACAAGTTACCTGTCATTAGAACCTAGTGACCTCATTGTAGTAGGACACCTTACTGTTTTTGGAGTTCTTTGAATCCCAGTTGTACAGAGTTAAATAGCACCCTTCCAAAATTCATGTCCATCGGGGGCCTCAGATTGTGGCCTTATTTGAAAGGTCTTCACAGTGTAATTGGTTAAGATGAGGTCATACTGGATCACGGTGAATCCTAAATCCAGTGAGTGGTGTCCTCACAAGACGGCACACAGAGGGCGAGACCACCACGTGAAGATAGTGTGATGCGTCTGCAAGCCAAGGACACCAAGGCCTGGGGCAGCCACTGGAAGCTGGGGGCCGGGAGCATTCTCTCTCAGAGCCTCTGAAAGGAACTAACTCTGCCAACACCGATTTCAGACTTCTGGCCTCCAGATCCAAGAGCGGATGTGACTGTAAGCCACCGTGTTGGCAGGAGCTGGTTACGGCAGCCCCAAGAAACTAATGCACCAGTCAGGAACCTTTTCGCTTCCACTGGTGTGGAGCTCTGAGCTGGGCCAGTTTTCACAAGGACAGTTCTGGTGAAAGGTTTTGCCAACCTTTCTTCCTGGGCCACTTCAAGAGGCCCCCACCTGTGACAGAATAGTTTACCTCAAACATGCCTGTCCCCAACTTTAGACTCAGGATGTGCTGTTCCTCCCGGGGTCCCAGCTCTGAGCCCCCAAGATCCAACCTTCACACTAACTTCTGTCCTCCTGTCCCCTCACCACCTTATCCAAGCTACTGCCCCTTCAAGGCCCTGCGGATCCTTCAACTCCTCTGGTCATTTCCTCTCTTTCGTGCAAGAGCCTGAAGGAGCTTTGCAAGCTGCAGATCGTACTGTTGTTATTCCACTGATAGAGCCTCTTGCAGCTGCCTGTGCTCATGAGTCGCGACTGAACACAGCGCTCCGCTGGCCACAACGGGCTGTGCCCAGCTGGGTCTCCCGGCCCACTCAGCTCACAGCAGCGCTCTCGAGGGAACAAGGCCTTTTTCTCACCTGTCTTCTCGCCTCCTCTGACAGAGTGGAGAGGAGCCAAGGAGCTTTGTGGTACCTGCCCTTTGTGAGCAAGATGGCAAGTGTTCTGGAAGGTTCCAAATTGCGGGGGGAAGGTGGGGAGGATCTGTACAATTACATCAGGGGACATGAACTTGGACAAAGATGAGTCAAGATCTGACAAATCAAATTTCAACAGAGGCCCAACCTGGGAGTCTGAACATAGAACAAAGCATACGGCCACTTACTAGAAAAAAAATAGTCAACTTTAATCATAACTGGCCAAACTGTGTCCAGGAATGTCGCTAAACAACCGAATAAAAGAAACATGATAAAATCCTCCTCCTGAGGAAGCCAAGTTTCTGCCAGCCCCAGTGCTTCTGAGGCTCAGGCCAAGGGCAGCCCACAATCGAGGCTGGATGTCCCCACGCAAGTTTCTCAGCCCAAGAGAAAAGCTGGGGAAGGGGGAGGGACCTGTCCCCTCCTCCCATCATGCTGGGAACTTAGAAAGTCACTGGTGGGGTGCACCTCTCCTCCCACCCCATTCCTGTCGTAAGTAAATGGAGACCCTCTGGACATCATCCAGAGCGCCAGGGAACCAGGGGAGGCAGCCTCAGTGCCCTCCTGGACTTTGAGCCAAAGCTTTACTCCAGTCCACCGGCTGGCATTCCCAGTGCCCAGGTAGGGATTAAGTATGCACTAGAGAAAACACTCAAATGCCCCATCTCCACAGTGCGAGCCACACAGCAGAAGGAAAGTGAAACAAGCGCCCTAAGGAAAAGCAGCGAGGCCAGCCCTCAGAAGACACGCTCGAACTCCGTCTGGTTGGTAGTGGTGGGATTGCGGCTCTGGTTGGTGGAAGGCTGGGTGATCTGGCTGCCCTTCCGGCGTGGCGGCGCCAGGTACTCGAACATGGATGTCAGGTGGGTGGACAGCATGCCCTTGAGGTCCGAGGGCATGGGGTCAGACCAGAAGAAGTCATGGTTGAGGGCATCATCACTGTCGATGCGCTGCGCGGGATCCAGCACCAGCAACTTGTCGATGAGGTCCAGTGCGTAGGGGTCACGCACATAGGCCTTCAGCCTGTCCTTCACCTTCCGCTTCTGGCCCTTGACTAGGTCCAGTTTCTCAAACAGCTCGTACTTGTCCACGTTTGGCCACACCTGGGGGGAGGGCATGGAGTGAGGATGAAGTGAGTTCAGGAGATGAGTGGCGTGTCCACTGGTCAAGCACCTGAAGGGACTAAACCTTCTCCGTTCAGATGCTTCCAGGCCACCCCTGGAGGGTGAACTCAACCCCTCCAAGGTGAAAATAGCCATGACCACGTATTTGGCACTGAGTGCCAGGCCCTTTTACGTAAATCGCCTGGAACGTGTGAGCCACAACTAAACAGGCAGCTGTTTCACAGAAGAGAAACTCAGCTCTGAGGTGAGAAGTTCAAATGCCTTGCCCAAGGCCACAGGACTGGTGAAGGAGCAGAGACAGCCTGTGTGGCTCTAAAGAGCAGGCTCTGTCCCTCCACCAGCTACCTCTCCAGAGAGGAGCTTTCCTTCTGTTCCACTCCCCACTCCTCCCCTGCCAGGGAGACTTCTGGATCTCTGCATCCTGCAGGGACCAAGGGCCCAGGCAGCCTGGCCACGCACCTCAGGGGTGATGGAGCCACAGAGCTGGCTGATGAGGGCAAGCTGGTGCTGCTCCGTGTTGCCCTGCATGATAGGGCTGCGGGTCCACATCTCCGCCATGATGCACCCAGCACCCCACAGGTCAATGGGGGGGCCGTAGTCCCGCTCCCCTGGGAAGAAGAGCGCACCAGGAGGGCCCCTTGAGCCCGAGGGCCGCCTGAGACGCAATGCCTCAGGGCCGGCGGCTCAAGAAGCCCTGGCAGTGGGGGGCTGAGGCCAGGTTAAGCGCCTAGCCCCTGCCCCCTCTGCCATCTCGGGGGTCCTCACCGAGCAACAGCTCCGGGGGCCGGTACCACAGCGTCACCACACGGTTGGTGTAGCGGTTGGGCTGGCTGTTCTTGGCCAGACTGAAGGCCCGGGCCAGCCCAAAGTCTGCCAGTTTCAGGACCCCATCTCGGGTGATGAGCACATTAGCTGCTTTCATGTCCCTGTGCAGGATCTGTAGGAAGGGCAAGAGTGAGGGCTCAGTCAGGTTCCCAAGGGTCCTTTAGCCACACCCACCTAGCAGTGGGAGCAAAGGTCAGGCCAAGCCTTGGTCTCTCCCCACCCACCTTGTTCCTGTGGATATAGTAGAGGCCATTGAGCAACATCTGCATGACCCTCTTGATCTCAGACAGTGTGAACTTGACTAACACGTTGCTCAGCAGCCCAGCAAGGTCATGCTCGCAGAAGTCAAACACCAGGTATATACTGCCTTTACAGCGGTTATAGGGGGAAGCTGAGGCAGGAAGAATGGGAGGAGGGAGGCAAGAAGAAAAAAGTAAAAAATCCCATATGCATTTCATTTTTCCACAACCAGCTCCTACACCCATCCAACCCATGGACACCCGGCATCCATCTGTGTGTTCCTTCACTGGTAAAGTATTTCCTGAGTGCCTCCTCTGGGCCGGGTGCTGTGGGAGCCCTGGGGAAGCACCAGCTACGATGAAAGGACCAGAGAAAGCAGTCACAGTAGGTACGTCTGGGGTAAGAAGAGGCAATTTAAATGTGTCCAGTTCCAACTTTGCAAACAAAGTCTTAAGTTATAAGCCTCCTTTTCTTGACCTGAAAATGGGACTAAGAGCCAAACAACTTACCTTTGGTTCGACAGATCTCAATCAAGTTGACCACATTCTCATGTTTTAGAAGCTGGAGGATCTTGATTTCCCGCAAGGCTGTAATAGGGAACTGTGTGGGAGAAAGATGGGGGTCAGAAAGTGAGTAAGCACACTACAGACCAAGGAACTGGCCATGGGGTCTGTACTAAGGGGCACAGGTTGGGAGACAGAGTAAAATCATGGGCTCTGAAATCAGTTATCTCAGACGCCTTATCTGAAAAACAGGTGTAAAGTAATATGTACCCCTGCAAGGAGTTGGTTTGAGACAATGAATCTAAATAGCAATACTTAACCACTTCACTATTAGTCATCAAATGCTCCACTGCTTCTTCAACCTTTAAGTTTTAGCTCTGTGCCTGTTTAACTTGCTAGGTGGTAACAAAAACAACAAAGATAGCTATAAAGTAGGTCTCTGGAAAACTGGACTAGGGCTAAAATAGGGGGGGAGAGGGGCCTGCTTTTTTGAGTACTAGACACCCCTTTAAAACCATTGCATGCATTTTTCTTTTACATTAAACAACATTAACCGCTAAGGAAAAAGTGTTTAAAGGCTTCCTAACTTCATAAACCACTCTGCACTCAGTGCAAGCATGAGCTCCCCCTCCTGGCCTTAACCATATTTGCCTAGGAATGAAATAGCAAATACTTTAAAACATTTGAACTAGAAAATTTAATTTAGAAGTCAAACTCCCTGCACTATGGGAATTCCCAAACTACTATAATCTGAATCTTACTGTGAGTATCCCAGAAGCAGCAGGGTGTAAACCCAAGTCCCCAGGGGAGTCGACTGCTGGCCACCTGAGCTATACTTACCCCCTCCTTCTCGTTCTCCATCAGTACCTTCTTCAGAGCCACCTTTTGGCCGGTCAAGCGATGCTTTGCCTTAAACACCTCCCTGCAGGCGGAGAGGGGGACCCAAAGCTCATCAGGCCATTTTGCCCCGGGCCCACCCCTCCCCCACCGTAAGAGGGCAGGAAAAAAGGGACTCCTGGGCGGGGCGGGGCCTGGTACCCAGGGCACTCAGATACCCCACCACCAGCTATCTGCGGATCCTCTCCGAGCCCCTACTTCCTCACTTCCTCAGTCTCTCCTTCTCACCCAGGCGTCTCTCGGAGAGATCCTGCTCCCCTCGCAAGCTCCTCTCTGCAACCCCTCCCCATCCCCCATCACGGGCCTCAGGCTCCTCCTCGCCTGCCAGCTCCATCGGGCCTGGGCGGGATGCAGCGCGGCCTACCGAGACCAGGGGGCATGTCTAGGGTTAGGTGGTCCCCTGACCACCTCTGGCCCGGCCCTGTGCATCCCGGCGACGGCCCTGAAGGGTGCAGGCCCAAGGCACCGGGTCCCTCCGGGCCCAGCCTTACCCAAAGGTGCCTTGGCCGATCTTCGCGAGCTTCTCATATTTGGACACCTCATCACAAAAGGGGCACTCCACTGAATCGTACTGCTTTGCCATGGCCGCCTCCAATGCGC